CTCCCTTACAAATACCTCCTGTGGATACCTCTCTTGTCATACTTCACCTCCTTTATAACCACCTCACTAGTTATCCCACTGCCAGAACACCTTCCTTTTCAATGAATACTTCTCAAATGAACACCTCCTTACTGATAACCATTTTCTGAATACTTCATTTCATATGTGTGTACATATAGAAGCCACTTGCCACCTGATGATTGTTTAGTATTTAACAGTCATAATACAGTCTTTAATACTAAGAAATTGTGATTAATCTGGGTTGTGGGTTTGAATGATTTGTGGAATGCACCAGCTGAGCTGGACACAAAGTTGAACTTGAACTTAAAAAGGTCTTGGATTTTTTTTTGCTTTGAAATGTTCCCATGCTGTAAGTTGATACCAGGGCTATCTTGCCTGCTGAGAAGCATTCTACATATGTTTTATATGTTTTACAGTGTGAACTGGCCTTACTTCACAAGAATGACAAGAATCTAGGAAGGATATGGTGATTTATTGTTATGGGGGATTTATTTATGATCACTGATTGACATTAAAATACAAATTCATTATCTGGCTTATTGATATGAAAACCCTCCTTTTAAATTAAAATTTCTGGAAAATTAATTTTTAATCGAAAATAGGCTTGAAACCATAAATTGTATTTTTAAATGTCTCTAGCATTTATCTTTAAAAAGTATTCAGAGAGGAAATATTAAATATGCCATATCAGATGAGTTCTAGAAGTGTTGAATTTATCTTATCAGTCCATTATTAGCAAAAGTTGATAATTGTTGAAAAAAACACCAATCTTTAATTTTTATCACTCCAAAGGTAATTTCCCTTAGTGAAATAGAGTCAATTAGATTGAACATTAGTAAAGTTGTTAGACTGATAGGCTAGTTATGCGATACAGCTAGATACCATATCTTCAAAGGAACAAACTCGCAATCAACACCTTAAAAAACTTAAAACTATGTCTCCATATCTCTTATGTTGAAAAGCAGGCCCCATAGAGATCTCTGGATTCTCTAAAGGCTTATGATGACAGATTCAAGATATAAATACACAGAAGTACAAAGATGAAAAACTCATAATATGATTATCATTTTATCCTTTGAAAGGTCCAGAGACAAGTAAAAGAAACTGTTTTTGATTAATTTTCAATGAACTTAAGAAACCTGCAAGGGTCGATGACGTTTCTAGGACACTGTTTGTCACATCATCATAAAGCTTGTTTTTTCTTGGACGTCAAAACATTTTTTACCCACATGCAATTGCTTCATAATATGGTTTACATTTCCAAAATATTTTGTTGAAATCAGGAACAAGTGGGCTATCATTGTAGGGCAAGATGTACGGTTTTCATTGAATTCTTCATCATTGAAATGTTTGTTTCTTGGCAAACTAGCCTGTGCATTACATTAAATGTATTACTTTTCCAAATTTGGAGAAATGTGCTGTAGAACTCATTGTTATATTATTGCTATATGATATGTTCACCCAGGACTGTTAGCAACCACATAACTCTATTACATGAGACATATTTCAATTGCAATCCAGGTATAACAGACAGAACATGAGAAAGGGCAAGTTAACCTCACCCATATGAAAAACTTCAGATATGTGCCCAACCCAATTAATCGGGTTACCCTTGTATGTAGTTCGATTTAGCTGCTTTTTTCAAGAAAGCTTCAACTTTATGTCTTATATACTAGGCTCTGAATGAAGCTCACCAGGGAAATATTTGATATTTTGGAACTTGTATCTTGCCCTGTGAATAGAAGGGAGTGAAGACAGTGATTTTCTCAGCTACTCAAGTATCAGGCTATCTGGGCCTCATTACATCAAAGTAGGTTTTCATTTAAAAAACATTCTTAAAAACACAAGAACATTCTTGATGATTACATATGATGCATTTAAAACTGGGTGTTGTTATTATTTATCTCAAATTGTCTCCCGTGACGGGTAATTAAACTACTGTAGATGGCGCCTTTTTGCGTTGGTGTGAAAACAATTTTGTCCCATGCTAATTATAATCCCTCTTTTAATTGATGTAGTAACCTAATTACAGCTCTACAATTTTACAATTTATATAGAGAATATTAGAGAGGGGATGACTAAATCCCGTGTTTAAATCAAGTGTCATTATACCAGGGGGACAGTTATTGCTTAGGGACCAAAATGTTTTCTATAGTGTAAGTTGGGTATATCTGGGAGGGGGTGCAGATATTGCTTATGAGCTCCAATGGGACACTCGTGGAAAAGCTCATGGAAGTCACAGAAGTTATAAATAGATTGGATTGTAGACATATTTTCCTGGATATTTATGTTGGCTGTAGATGTACAAATAAATGCAGAGACGCATAATGTGTCAGGTCACCCCAATGAAAAGTTGTGTAAACTTCTTGGAGGTTGATCAAAATTACAATTCAATAAGTTATAAGTTTTGAATAACTGTTCATAATCAGATAACCTGCTTGTTTGTCTTCAACAACTTGATGGTCCTTTGTGGTTAAAATCAGAGTTGTGTATTTGCTTTGTAATGTCACAATGACTTAAGTTTAAACTTAAAAGATTAACCCTTGAATTTTGCGGTGTTTTTTGATTCACATTATATATGATGATCGTGTTTTTATGAAATACAATACTGCTTTTGTGTTAATGACATATGCATGTAGACTGGATAAAAAATGATGAATGAAAATTAATTTATTTTTGATCGCTTCTATTCAAGTTATGTTTAAGAAATAAGTAAAGAGGAACCTCTCTTTATATTAGTTTTGAATGCACAGTTCGTAAAGGTTGCCGTAACGAGTCTCATTTTACTTTCATCTCCGCATTTTCATCTGGTTGATGTTTCTGAGATCCGGTATGATTTCCCAGAGTCCTCATTCTTAAGAATCTGTTTTAAATTGTATGTTGATTCCAAGACAAGAGGGTTAAATATACCATATAGTTCTTAAAGCATCCAGGTTACTCCATCCAGGTGTATTTGTATAATTTTGGATAATGTACCATCAAAATCGAATAACTCTTCAATTGGCCATAATGCCCTAATTTACATATGAAACGGCCATAGTGCACATTTATTCTCATGCAAATATTTGAAATATAAATCTTTATATACCCACTTAATTTGGACCAGAATTCGCAATTTTACTTTGGGATTTGGACTTTGAAAAAGTTTAAAAAAGAGACAAATTGAAGAAACTCCCAATTGTTATGTCCGTGTCCTTCATAGAGCGTTTTATTATAATGCTGTATTTATTTGTTGTTCTTATTTTCATATAAAACCAGTAATTTGAAACTAAATGATGATTTTAGGAACTTTGGGTTAGCAGTTGTAAGTTTATGATAACATATACGTCTGACACATTGAATACTTAGACATTGTGATTGATGATTTCTAACTCCTTTATAGCAACACATAGTAGGTCAAGAGATTTGTTTTTTATTACTACCACTATAGATCCAATGAAAAGAACTTAAAATGGGTGTTTTAAAAATGGAAAAATTAGGTGAAGAATAGTGGAATTAGCAAGGAAATGGTGAACTGGCATGAAGTTGATACTTTAAAACTGTAGAGAAATTATGAAGTTGGAACTGTTTAGTGAAATTAGAAAATATATGAACAACCAGAGTATTTTTTGTTGAGGGATTGTATTCATTGTTAACATTTTGACTTACATGAAAAATGTGAACAAAACTCTAGGTTGGTTTTACAATGTAGTTTTGGGTGGTATATGCTCTTTACATTGATGTAAGAATTTGGGCCTCTCTGCCACATTGGGGTTGTCTTGTAAAGTTGAGTTTTACATGACATTTGATTGGGAATATATCGTAAAAACAACATCTACAAACAGTTAATGGTCACTGAGTCAGGTACATCAGTCAGGTATACACCTTGTTCTTATGCTGGCATTTTATGATAAGATAGTGTAGAAAAACACTTGTTGGTTTCCAGTTAGGTGTTTCATTGTTTGGGGAACCCTTCAAGCTCTGTTCAAGAGATATGTTGACATAATAAGGTGTGTTTGTGGTGAAGTCCTAGTGTTAGTCATAACTAAAGAAAAAGGTAGTAATACCGTATTTAGTACAGATTATGTCGAATTGGTAAATGTTCTTAAGAACCAATCAACTTTTCATACCCATCTCCATATAAGCATGAAGTTTCTTTTGGCCTGCTAAACAAAGTATTACTCTCTCCTTGCTACCACTAAGTGTCAGGGGGGAGGGAGGAGACCTGATATAAGACTTAACAGTGATAGACTCCATCCTTTCTCCTGTCAAACTTATTCTACCTGTCAATTGAAGTACCTAAGTTTGGTAGCCAAGGAGATGAAGATGTAACTCTAACCTAACAAAACAACGAACAGGATGAACAAATAGAAAACACTTATGGTGTAGTTGTTGAATAAAATAATCTGCTTCTCCAACGTGCATGCCTGGATTTGCCACATACATCTGATATAATTCATGTTTGATTCATATGTACCATAGTCTGCATTGATGCCCATTAACACCACCCCATTTGCCCATATTTCATATGTAATACCATTGAGCCCCTCATGACATGTCCTTCGCTATAATATTTGCAGGACTGTACTTTAAAAATGGCTGACAATGCATTGTGATTTTGAGCAGTGGTTAAATTTGCATATTTTAATAATTCTAACAACATTAAACCAAGGGTAAACACGCTTGAAAGTTCCTTGCTGAATTTAATATATTCTACTGACTGAATAAATAAAATTCCTATACAGCCTAAGACATTCAATGAAAAGCGCCTATTTAGCTGCTATGGTCTGTAAGAGCCTATATATCATTCTATATGCCTCTTTTTAAGTTTCCCATACAAGTATGGTGATCTTTGACCCCCAGTTTCTATAGACTTATTTTTAGTGTACAAATCTCCAAAAGTTTACCTATTTCCCAATTTCCATTCTGAAAGGACTTGTTTTCTAATGAATGTTTACTTGGAGTCAATATGTTTATGCCTTTTCTTTATTTTCTTTCAGGAGCTAGTGGGCAGACTAGTCCCGTACCCCCTGACAAATATTTAAAGTGCCAATGCAGATCAACCTCATTTGGTGGAAAGTAGCCTACACCATTGACTGAGCCACATTGATGAAACTGAGTTATGTGCCAATCCTGTCAAAGTGACTAATGGACCTTTTAAAGATTAGAAAAATAGAAGTGAATAGAACGGAATTGCTATATAACATATATAACTTATATTTACTGGACAGTTGTGTTAAAGGCCTTACATGAATGGCATTTAAATTCACTAAATCCATTTTCCAAATGAAAAAGTTTAAAACATTCAATTATATACACTTCAGGTGACGTCAATTTTTGATCAAGATTATCATAAATAGTTGACAATGATTCAAATCATGTTCCTATATCTGTTATGGTGTCTTTCAAGCAGAGATATTACATAATACCTGGCCCAAGTTAGGTATAAGTGTACCTTCCTCCTTAAAATTTGACATTAAGTCTTGTTTTGTATCGTTAATAAGTATATGAGGGTCTTGCCTTATGGGAAATGAAATGTTTTCAAATGGGATGCTGTATTCTGGCTCAGTGGTCATTGTCAATGGTCATCAAAATTGCTTTTTAACATCTTGCCTTAAATAAGAAGCTGACCAAATATGCACATACAGTTTCCCATATTCCAAACTTATGTTTTCATTGGGGTTCAGGCACTAAATCAAAATTTACAACTACCTTGCTACATGTGGTCTGAGTTAGTGCATTTTCATAAATTTAATCTGATGCCAATGAATTGCATTTCTCAAATCCCAGTGCTGTTTTGTATTATGGTCAAGCAGTTTGACAGAAATTAGAAATCTTCACAATAAATTTCAATTTTTGTCTCAGAGGATATGGTTATTGTTAAGATATATGGTACTTCATCAATGTTCCTGTCATTAATGTAGTAGAATTTCGGGGAAATGTGACATGTCCAAATTTTATATTTGGGTTTCTTTAGTACACATGTCAAAGCACATCACAAAGATAACATCACATTGCTTGAGAATGTCATGATTTCGTACATGGGAGATTTTAATTATCTCCTTGTTTATATATATTTGAATGTTATTACTATTGTGAACTTTGTCGAAATGGACACAATATTTTCTTAACATATTATTATAAGTTTTATAAAAACAAGTTTAGTCATTTTTAGACCCTGTTGAATTTTAATCACGGTTTGTTTTTAGAGAAGTATGATTTTAAATCACTTACCACTCACAATTGTTATTCTTAAAGAGTACATTGACCTATTGAAATACATAAAATTTGTTTTAAAAAGCTGTAAATCTTTTTTCTAGTGACTTTAAATCAAGAATAAAGTGGTTTATGATCCAAATGTGTTGCCATTTACTTACTTTTATTATATTGTGTCTCACCTTTGATTGGGTTCAGGTAGTGAAAGATTCTTAACTTCACTGGAGGAAGCATGGAGAGATCACCATAGGGAGATGTATACCAGATGATGCCACTCCCTGCACCTGGAGTATGCCCAAAACAATATTAAGTAAAATAGGATTCCATCCCCTCCTCATAAAGTAAATGCCTGTTCATCCATTTCACCCCCCCCCCCCACTCTCAATTACCTTCATGTTAACAATAATGTTGGAAGAATAATGTAAACTATACCTAGATGTATCATATACAAAAATGAGTAAGCCCATAGGCTTCCAAGGTGTATGGGCTTGTATGGTGAGCCCCCGGGGGTGAGCCCCAGACTGTCCAAAACAAAAGTACCTGTCTCCCCTCCATTAATACCAACTCTCCCTCTAAACAGGCAATATAAGTATCTACAGATGTTACAGATAAACCATATTTACTATATTTTTCATCATGAAACCATACCACACAGAAAATTGGTGCATTGCCATAATGGGGTGATTATGACCATCCCAATAATACACCAATATACTGTTAAACACAATGTGAATGGCCAATCCTTACATATTAGACTGGAATGGGGGAGAGGAGGGAATAAAGAGGGGTGGACATATCATGGTTCACATTGGAGTAAACATCATACTTGTACTGGGCAAACAGTATTATGCCACTCAACAGTACTGTCTCCAAAGATATTTTTGGAACTTAATGGGACCAACTTAATGGAGAAGCTTCTCCCATTTGTAGACACTACCTACATCAATGAAGTTACATACATGTCATTATGGCAATACATGTTATTATCACCAAATAAAAATGTCACAGTTGCATTTTCAAAGGACTTTAAAAAGGTTTGCTTGCATTTTAAGCCTAATGAATAGCAATTTCCTGAATGTAGTAAGTATTAAACATGTTAATTCTTTCAATGGCTTTTATGTCAATACAGTATTCTTGTTTTACAGTATCAAATTGCAGGGACCATTTTCATACATCCATTCATGAAATATCCCACAATTATTTCATTTCACTAAATGTGCATGCAAATTGCGGGCCTTTTCGAAATTTCTGAATACGAATTGAAATGGAATACTTGGCAACATTTTGAGAATGAATAAAGATTCTGTAACTTGAGAGAACTTATCCTGTATCCTGTTTTCCACAAGTAGGCCTACTGTTCTGCCCGCTGTTCTGTTGAGATTACTTATTATGAATGGACTTTGTTTTTATATTTGTTTTGCTTGCTTGCTAGGGCTACACGTCTTCATGCTAATATGTATTTATAGAGTGGTGGTGTAACTTCAAACTATTCAGGATTAATTGAAAATCAGCCAATCCCATTGATACTTGGATCATTCTCCGTCCAAGCAAAATAAATCTCACAGGTAGTCTTTGTCATCCTTAGTAGAGGTATTTTATTTTTATCCAGTGGTAGTATGAACTTATCGGTTCCCCCTTGCCTTAGGTACATGTTGAGGAATATGGGCTGGATTAGAGGGGGACACAGCTGACACAAAATTAACTGACTCAGGAGGCATAGTGTTAAACCAGTGTATTCCTTCAGTCATATTAGGGGTGCAGCCAGCAATTGTCAAGGGGGTGCAATTTTTGGGGTTTTCATCACTGCGAATGAAGCGAGGTGTAAAAAGGGGGGTAGGGGAGTTCACCCCCAGAGATATGGTGCATTCTAAGCATTTTCAAACAATAATTTGTTACTAATGTATCATGAAACTGATATAAATTGTCAATAAAAGACATAGTAATGTTTTTGCATCAAATTGCTTTTTCCTACACCTATCACCCCCCCCCCTCGGCTACACAGCCAATGCATATGTAATAAATGTAATGCATATTAATGGATCTAGATGAACTGAAGCCTCATGGGTCTTACATGTGTCACCGTGTTAAAAAAATAAACTTCAGTCACGCCATACATCCTAATTAAACATGTAAAGTTTCATTACATAGCACAGGTTCCAAATTAAAAATCCAATTTTATAGTGAACAAAATAAAACTTTGTAGTTATTTTGGATACTAAATATTGCATGCAAAAAATAATTCAGCCTGAAGTTAGGCACTGGTATATAATTGTATCCAGCCAACCGGATAGTGTTTATTATTTGGAAAATGGTTAGAAAATCACCACACTGACAGTTAAATGTTGAAGTTTGAATAGTGTCTTGTTAAGATAGTTCACTAGCCTGGAAAGCTGCCTGGGGCCTAAATTCTGAACTACATGGCTAGGTAACTGTGAAACAGCACACTCCGCATGTACTTACAGCAATATAATTGTAGTATTCATCGGAAATTTTTGTACATTGCCAATTTTTAAATCTTCTTGTTTCTTCTTGCAATTTTTTCCATTAGGCTATGCAAAATCACTAAAATCAAAAATGTTGAAATACTGAAATACAAATGTTGATTCTTGATCGGGAGGGGGATACATTTGGAAATGAGGAATCATTTCATTGGAGCCAAGCATTGAAAATGCTGTAGTAGGAGAAAGAAAAGCAAATGAGCTGAATGTACTGGAATATGATAAATGTTAACTCAGTAATATGCTCTCGTTCACCCCTTAATAATAAATAAAAAATTGTTGGCACTGAGCTTATCCTTGCTTTTGTAATGTTATCTAATATTATAGGAAGTATTACATTGGTATATACCAAAAAATAACAACTGTTTCAATGGTATGTAATGTTGAAAGCTAGAAACTTTACTCCCCTTCAGTTAATAGAGATGTAATATGATTTAGAAAGATTAGCCCTTAAGTCCCAGAGACTTACTATCAATGCGGTTCAGGCCCTTTAAATTTAACCTCATTGTCTCTTTAAACCATATTATTAATTTAAAAATAGTTTCGAATATTTTGGACCCCATTTCTAAATCTGCTCTTATGGTAAACAAACCAGTCAGATAATTTAGATAAGTGAATCTTAGAAATCTGCATTACATTCAATTTAAGGTTACGTGTTTTTACCCCTTGTGTTGGTCACAAATTTTCCTGGTCTATTGTCCAGGGATCAGGCTATTGATATTTCGGATCAAATTGCTTTGTTTACTTATTTACTGAACTTATAAGTCTTATCCCCTGTTTAAGTCTCATGTGGGATTAACACTTACCACAGATAAGTACATTTCACTTACCATGTGCCGCATGTTGAAAAAGTCATTGGATTTAACTGGTGGGTTTTAGATTGGAGTCTAATGTGAAATCCTCTTTAGATGGTATTTGTCCACTGTTGCAGACTAATGTGCTAAAGTAAGGTGGGAGGAGGGGGTGAGGAAATTCTGATAAACACTTTTGAAGATGTCACAACTGAATTAGACAACAACGTCCCCCCACAACACACATGATGTTGGATCCCTGTCAATGAATTCCAGCATCAAATAATGCTACTAACATATTACATACAACCAACTAAGCAATGAGCTGATTTTTATTTCAACAAAGGACGATTCTCGGTTTGGAGAACGAAGTTCATCAATCTAAATGAGCATTATCCCTGCTTCGAACAAATTTGATTTTTTTTACATGATATAGATTTGAATGTCTTCTTTTGAATAGTCATAATTTAATTTGGGTAATATTTCTAGATTTTTCGCAAAAAAATATTAGCGCAGTACACTGATGAACTTCTTTCCCCAAATCGAGACTTGTATTTTAATGAATCGGTCTATTTGAGCATTATCCCTGCTTCAGACCAATTTGTTATTTTTACATCTTGTAGATTTAATTGTCCTCTTTTGAATATTCATAGTTTAATTTGGGTAATATTTCTATATTTTTCATGAAAAATTGTTTAGCCCAGGAGGCTGTTCTCCAAACCGAGAATCGTCCTTTGGCAGGATTCTTAAAAAGATGAATCACAATCGGCTTCTTCAGATAATGGATTTTAAAATTTTTATGTATAGTAAAGGAGTGTTGGATGATAGTCATTTTTATAGAATTCTAAAAGGTTTTTGATAATTCTGGACATGTTAAACTGAGTAAAATAAACACTTTTGAAAGGTAAATATTAGGCTGGTAAGCGTATGAATAGAGCATTATACTTTTTATAGACAAACGCCTACAGTGATACAGTTTTTCAATGGTCATATTGATAGCAAATTTAAAAAGAAGAGAAAAGCATACCAATCCGAATTTGTGTGCCATTTATTAAGTAAATGAACAGAAAATATGTGTCTCTCTTCATCCTAAGTCTGACCAAATGCGCATGACAGCTCAAGTTGGATGCCTATGAACGTGACATTTCTTTAATGAATTTAAGCTCTGATAACTCTGGTAACAGATCAATGCGCAATATTTCCAAGTTCAGATAACATTTGCAATTTAAATTGATTAAATGTTCATAATGAAAGCTTTCTAGGAAATGACAGTATAATTGTGAAATACAGCTTCGCATGTTAATAATAACAAAGAATTAAATGTGTCAACTTTTTAGGCCGATACGAGAATAATGACGTGAAAAATGAAAGCTTATTAGTTTTGAAGTATTATAACAGGGTTCCATTGACATGTATTAATACCTGCCTCTGTGAGTTGTTAATTAATCTGAATCTACTATTTTAATGTATTAATCAGACTTAATTATTAGCCAAATAAAAACAAGATGCCAGAGTTTTTCACAGATTTAGGAAGTATTTACTGCCACACTTGTGGCATGCTGGATAGTAGATACAGTTGTTTGTTGTGTACAAGATTTCAGTAACCATGGCACTGGTGTATTACACTGACCATGGAATGTAGCAATTTGTAACAAATAATGCTTATTGCAAAATCCATTGAGAAAAATTATGCATATGAGCCAATGATGTCATTTTACTCTATAATATTTGATAAAATGTAGCAAAGTTAGCCTAATTTGGTATTTGCTACAGCTCCTACCCTGATGGGGTTTCTATCTCAGCTTAGAATCTGAAAATACTAGTACTACATGTAGAATTTCAGGCCAAAATGGCAAGAGATTTGATCACAGTCAACTGTGTTGTTTTGTCCTTCATGTCAAACTGACATAGCCAGCCACAAATGGAAAATTCACTTACCAACCAATTTTACACTTACAAATAAATTGAATGTCCCTGTACCCATTTTGATGTTCTATACAGTTTGCTTCCCCCTCCCCCTCTAGAACTGTAAAAGTGATAGTGTCAGCCAGGTGTCTTCAACATGGAGTCCCATCAAATAGAATCAGGAATATTGAAGGATACTGTGGGTTAGAATGAGGGCCACAGATACTGCCATCTTTCAGATTTTTAGTTTTCATGAAATGTTAAAGTCATTGAGTCTACTTGTGTCGTGACATGGCAGTCAACAAAAATAGATTTCGTATTTGAACAAGAGAAAATGTTGCTTTTCTCTGGTAAAAACACTAAAAATATTTGATGCTGACTACAACTGTACAACTGTACATTACAAGCTCAGTTTCAAATGTCGGGAAGTTTGGGGTTTGAAATAAAGAGGACTTTTAGAATTCTATACTTCATAAAGTGAAAATTGACATTTAATCAAGAGCTTGGTAGCAGGGGCATGTTAGATTCATTATCAAACATTAAACAGGGGAAATTGATAAGCAAGGGATGTCCAGCAATCAGCTAAGAGAGAAATTAGCCAACCCGGTGAGATAAAGCAACTTGAATAGAACTTGAATGTTGTCAATAAGCTTAATTTCCAACATGTACTAAGTAACTTTGATAATTAGCCACATGTGAGCACTTAAGATTCGGGACATTACAATCAAACTTTGTACATGTTAAAACTTCAGGTTTTATCCTCAACAACCTGTGAATGTCACATCCAAAGACAAAAGATAGAATTTAGAGAAATGTAGTGGTTGACTTTAATTTTTTAACTTTTTCATATGAAATGTTTACACATTAAATACATAATGAGATATTTACAATGATATAAATGTAGTTTTCAGCATTGACGCTTTTGATAGACACAACATCCACTCAGACGCTTTTCACATCTTTGGTGATTTGAAAATCATAAGTTAACATAATATATAAAGAATATAATTTACTCTATGACTCTTGCTGTACCAGAAAGGTACAAAATTGTGAGATAAATATTTGTACAAGCATTACACATACAGTTACCAATGCAATGGTTCAGAAAATAATAAATAAATGGTGATAAGTTAACACATTCGTTAAGGTAAGGTCTCAATACCCTCAAATGCATGGTTCACATGCAAAAACATACTATATGCACTATTACACATAAAATCAAAAACAAAAAAGGCCGAAAATCTTGGCATCTCAATAACAGTCTTAGCCTAGTATTAATACTTAGTACATACGTACTAGAACACATTCTGTAGGCTACAAGCCATATTGCTTGTATGTAAAGTTAAGTATATACAACTCCACTGTGAGTTTAAAACATGGACTTAGTCTTCAATAACTTACTTGGTCAAAATTGTGAGAACTCCTTAACTAATAGCTTATGTAAAATAGCCTTCCAAAATAAATAATAATGTTCGTTCCACTAAGGAATGGCATATTATAATAATATTACACTTCGTAGTCATTATTTATAAAGTAGTCATAAATAGTCATAATTACAACGGTTGTATAGTCCATAATTTCTTGTCAAAAATGCATAGAGCAGTTCAGCTTGTTTAACCAGCTAGATATGGTCCCGTTTTACAAGGGGGGTCCTTGATGTCGTCTTTAGCACATTTCCTTAAATATTGGCAGTCTCAGATTTCGGCTAACCTCTAGAGGGGACCCACATGAGGGAGTGTCATTTGTTGGGAATGAAGCAGCAGTAGTTGGGGAAGGTGCACTGTATAGGCTTTCGCTGGAACCCATAGAACTGGGGTATGACGCGTTGTTGTCTCGCGAAATGTTATTATTGCAGTTGTTCAAATATTGCTGTACACGGGCATCGCTTAGCTGCCGTGGAGAAGTTTGCACGTTAAGAGAACACTGGGATGGTACTGGAGACTGCTGTTGTTGTTGTTGTTTAATCTGCTCCAACACGAGTTGTACGTCTTGGAACGTGAACATAGTGGGGAGTTGGACCGCTGGTGGTGCGGATTGTACCGGGGCGGGTGAGAATACATCACTCTCAGAATTTTGTTGTCCCCACATGAAATTTGTGGGAGACATGGTCGGACTGTCTGTTACACTGGAACTGGGTGAATCAGCAGTTGAACCAAGTGGAAGACTCATACTAAACTGTAGCTGTTTTGGTCTGGGGGGAATTTGTTGTTGGGCTGATCGGTTCATCAACTGATTCTGAGCCTGGACCAACATTTGTTGCTGAAACTGTTGCTGGTCGTGTAGAACTTGCTCGGACTTTACGTGGTTGATTTCCGAAAGTTTTCGTTCACTTTCGCTGTGAATGAAATGGCATCTTGGTCCATATGGGCAAATACCAGTGCTGTGGAATGTCCTACACAGTTCAGTTTTGTATTTAGGATGCCTGTTTAGCGATCTGAGTTCATTTATCCCATGAGCGAATTGGCACTTGTCGCCATATTTACAGTGTCCATTTTCCTCGAACGGTCGGCACATTTCTGTTTTATAACGACTGGAGTTGATATTTTGCTGTTTCTGGTTGGCATTTCTATCTGACTGAGAGTCACTTACTGATCGCTCAAGTTTCCTTGGTAACTGGTTCAGTTGGTTCATGTGATTCAGCAGAACAGCGGTAGTGTCATCTATTGAGATCATTTCTGTTGGAGACGGTGGTGGGCTTGGTTTGCTGCCCATAACGGCGTTGCCCAAGATCGGAGATTGAGAGCTTCGGTTACGAATCGAAGTCATCATGTTGTTGTTGTTGACTGGACTTCCTACAACTCGACTGTCCATTTTCATACGGTTCTTCGGCTTCTGGAAAATAGCGAGAAAAATAATTTAAACAATTGTAAATAACAGATTTCTTCCATTCATTTATTCATAAATATAATGAACTTACAAACTTGTTGAAACTAGAAAATTGCCAAGCCGCGAGCACATGGCATGGCCGTTGAAATTGAAACCAATCGATAAATTCTGGCGGTAAAACTTAGGCTAACTTCCACCATCATTTAGATACCTACGAGCCCCATTAACTAATGAAAGTATTACATACCTGGTAGACTAAATCTCCAAAGTCATAGAACGCCGATACACCTGATACTAAAGCTGTAGTCATCGCTAAATAGAACTTGTTTGTAATATATTTGAATTCGACTTCGTTTCTATCTTGCCGGCTACTTTCTGAGTTGTGTATGAAGTTGTACATATTTATAACACGTGTGGAAACTGGGCGGAGCTTATCGCGCACTGCTCATCGCTGATTGGTTAATTTCTCACGAGCTCTGAAATTGATCACCGTGTTTACATTCTGCAGTGCGTGTGTATTCTACACCAAAGCTACATTGTGGCAATTAACAAATTTTAATCCCTTTTATGTTTTGTGTGTGTGTATTATGTAAACATGAGAGTATTTTAACATTGGTCACTAATTATCGGGAAAAAATTACGATATCATTCAGGGGATATATTCATTTTATTGTACTGAAATATGGACAAGAATGAATCTAAAATCTAACATCCGCATTATGAATCATCCAAAATTGGACCAATAATAGTACTTGACGTCATTTTCTTACCTTCCATATTAGGGAAACATTCAGATTAGTGTTTCTATATACTAAAACATATTCATTTTATATGAACAACAATTCCCAAATGCAGAGTTTAAAACATAATTTCAGATGGTGTAAATACATCCAAAATAATTCTAGAAATCTACTTTGAAACGTACACACTTCGGAACAAGTCAGTTTGTTTACACCGTTGTACAAGCACGTGGCTTTTCCCGCCATCTTTGACATCACTTCGCGCCATTTCTTCTCGGAGGATTTCGCAACATTCATTTAACATCTGTTGTTTTTGTGAATATCTAATTTTCTTTTTTCGCGGGAGACATTAATACCTCATGTAATCATTACACGGGCAAACCACATTGTTAACTGCCAATTCATCTTTTAATATCTGGTAAAAACAAAAGCCAAACCAGAACAAGCGCGCGTGAGGGTCATTGTAAATTTCCCGCGACTTTAAACAATGAATAGATATAGAAATCAATTACTCAACATTTAATATGCATGAAACAAAGAATCAGTGTGTAAAGAGCATAAAAAACAATTTACATTTCCCATGCTTAACTCATTATTTCTGCATTTCCCAGATATCAAGCTTTATTGACCAGTATGATGTTTAAGAAGCTTTGGAAATGTATTAATTGTGATCTTGGAAATCAATGTTCCAAAAAGAATCTCACAGGAACATTTTAACAGAATCGTATCCATTAAATATGAAATACCATTGAAATATTGTATGTTTTCGTGGGCTTTCTGTTAAAAGCCCATAATGTTTATCATTTCTATATTACAGTCGATGAATCTGTGCAGGACGAAAAGTACATTTCAGATACGTCTTTACAATTTATTTTAATACCCTCTGAATATAAAAGATAGGAACTTGAATCTGAAATCTGAATAACCGCATATCACCCACCATCTGAATCAGACTCAATTTTACAAAACTAAGATAAATTGCTTTAGCGACATCTATTTATAAGAGCAAAAGCTATTTCACACATCGCTGCAGTTTTGCTATTCAACAAAGGTGAATATAAATAAACAAAATATTTCACATTTTCAACTTGTCTTCATCTAATTCTTGTAATCATCCGGACTATTATTAATTTGTTTTTATTTGTTTTCCTCTAATGGTGTCTTGTTATTGATATGTTTTTAGTTATGCCTTTATTTGCTTATTATCCCAACTGGATCCTTTATTTATTTTATTAGCCATCTTCTATAGAACACAATACCAATAGAAAATGTCTGAACTTTTTATTACTATTTATTTGTATTTGTAATGAACGGCTTGTGTTTGTAATAGTGCTATCATTGTGTCATTGGGTCCCCAGGAATTCAATGCGATTGGTGAAATGTAATTTATGTCAATTATAACATTAATTGTCATTAACAGATGGCAGCACGTGATGGAGCAGAATAATGCCTAGTATCCCTCTGCAACATTTCAAATAGTTTTCATAGTTTCTTGAAAAGATATAGCATCTCCAATTTGAAATCTATGACCAATAATAGAATAATAAACTGAATATTAAAATAAGCATAGCATTAAATTGACTCTACATTGATTCATACATAATATGATAAAATTGTCAAAATTCTGAACTTATTTTTGAAATGATGAAGTGTGCTGTGTGAATGTATGAATGTGTATTTACTTTTTTACAGTTTTTGCATTTACTTGTAATAAAACATATTCAAATTTCTAATGTCAACTACACTTATACATCTCTAGAATTACAAATGTTTCACATAAAGCAGATATTTCTAAGAGTTAGAATGGGAATTTCACTTGTTTCAAAACAAAAACCTCAAAATTGCTTTAGAATTTTAAGCGCCCAAATTCATGCTGCTTGAAAAATGCCAATATGTTTTGCAGTGCACCTGTTGCTTGGCGTTTGTGGAGAAAATTCGCCACATCACATTATTCTGAAGATTACTCATCTTCAGTGGTATTATCATGAAAGATTTGTTAACCCATAAAAGGGAACAGCTCAATACAATAAAATTACATATCAAGATTTACAGTTGGCATGAGACTAATGTGTGAGGTCATGCAAAACCAGCATTGTGAAGAAAACACAAACCGAGATGAAACAATGAGTTTTTAAGCTTGAATTTATTCCACATACCCAGAAAGACAAAGTCTACTAGTAACTCGTTACAGATGAAGTAAATGAACAATTTTCACTTTAAAGATTCGCACATTAAACAGTGTGATGAGGCACTGACATAGGGTTTGAGCCGGGGGAGGGGGGGGGGTGAGGGCTATGAATATATCTATAACAATGAAAATAATGAAATGATGAATCCTCTACAACTCAAATCATCCATACTCCCTAACTGACTGATTATTCTAATATATATAATGCATTCCATTTACAAAGATGAATATAAAAAAATTGTAAATTATATATATTATATATATATATTATCCAATATTTTTGAACATTTACAATGAAACAAAGGTTTGATATGGTCCCTCAACTGATAATACTTTTTCTCACCAGATAGTATAAGGGCCAGTAGCCAGAATTTCAATCAGACTCTATATTCAAGATAAAACAATTAAAGGGTCATTTGGTTACATTTCTAAGATAGTAGAGATCCAGAAAATTACCTATTGGTGCCATAAATTGATCAACTATAAAATAAAGTACAGGTTCAAGAAGAAAGCATTTGGGCAAGTTATGAGAAAACAAACAACCTCATTTACTTCTATGATACATTGTAGATCAAATGCCCGTAAATATGGAATAATGAAAATTCAAAAAGCCCAGCCTTAATCCACCAAAGTAAAGGTATGTTATGTCATGTTTGCAAAATGAACACAAGCCAGAGAATAACACCATAATACACAATGTAGGTTCTGTATGTGAAGTCTTTGGAACATAAAACATACATGGACACTTCTCAACAAAGAAAGTGAAAAAACAAAGCTTTAATAAGTAGTCTTCATCTGATGGTTTTCATTGCACTTTGATATCCTAGCACTGTTTAACATCAGAAAGAGGCACTTAGCAAAGGATCAAAGTGTTATCTAGGGTCTGCCATGGTTCCATGCAATTCAGACAGGCTCTCCTAGCAGGTAAACTGTCATTAGGTCATGTTTTAAAATTCAAATTAATGAAAAAACAGAGGAATTAGCAAGGAATAAAGTATACAGAGACATAGTGAACATGTCAAAGCATATAAAAATGCAAGAAAATAATACTTTTTATTCATATTTTAGAGAGAAATTGTGTAAATTAAGCAAGAGTAGTGATGCGTTTTGAGCAGACGTTGGCTCTTTGATCCAGTCTTTCCTTACTCAATCTTGTCACATATACACCCAATATAATATATTGCTTGCGCCTAGCAACATTTGTTCCAATTTTTTCACTTTAATGTTTATATGTAAGATACTTGGCTAGCATTTTTTCCAGGGATGCAAAGATATCTTCTTGTAAATATTTTTCAAATGTTTTTGAATAACTGATGGTGATTTTGGAGGAAATAAGATCATTAATTTGATTTGTGCATGAAAAATAGTTTTTTTGTCAATTTGAAGGAGACAGATCAAGAAAAATGATTTTTGGCTCAATTTATTGTTTTGTATTAGTAATAACTGGAAACCATCATCTGCAACTTGCTTGTACACATGAGAATTTCTTTTACACCACCAATGCTCTTTCTACTGTCTCATGATATTTTATCTTATCAGATTATATTCATGGCTAAAACCTAAAAATAAAGTTTGGTCAGGTGATATTTTACTGTTCTTATCCTACTTATCATTGGCTTATTAACTAATTAATTAATCAATTGCAGAAAAATCAATAAATCAACAAGGAAGTGCCAGTCACTTGTTGATAACCAATATTATGATATTATCTTTTCACCAATCTAAGTTTATTTAAGATACTTGTATACTTATAGGAGCTTTAATAATAAGACATATTAGATAGATACATGACATTTATATAATTCAATTAGCTTTTAATTAGCTTTCAGATAATTTTTATTTTAATACCTATCCAAGATTTTTTAATATCATTTTTATATCAAAATGTAAAATTGCACAGGTTTTTTGATGCATTTTGAAACTATTTATTTCAAGTATACAGTTGCTATGTTGTTGAAGTTGTTGATGTTAGTTGCTAGGGAGTGGTTGTTACTGTCAATCAAAATATGTTTCCCTATATTTCAATATTCTACCTATTTTCATTAACCGATTTTTAGATGAAGTATCTATATAATTATTTTTATTACACTCCTGAGATTCATGGAAAGTATAACCTTTGCTGTTACTTAATTAACGTGATTAATTGGAAAACCATCAATCAAAATGTTCTTCAAATATTTCTTAATATCAATACTCTGTTTAATATCTAAAAATACAAGATTGGTTCTAATCTGGTCTGATACCTCATGCATGGAAATAAATTATTTTCCAAGTACAATCAGAGTCATATAATATGTTTTATATGTCTCTGGTATAATAAAGCATTATTTCACTGTGGAATATTTGAAAATATGTAAGACTAGGATAAAAAATTTGAAAAGTTTCTGGAAATTTTCTCTCGTTTGCTTAAAATTCTAGTGTTGGAAAAATGATTTTATTGCATATTCTTCTCATTACATAAGTATCAAAAATCATCTGCAAGAACTAAAATATTTAGTATGCCACAGGAGGTAATGACTCTACCCAAATCACCACAGGATGCAATGTGTCATTCCCAGCATCCTCCAATACAAATTACATGAAGATTAAAAGAAATGAAACAGTATAAAACAAGAAAGCACCATAACACATTTATTCCATTAACCAGTAGCACCAGTAGCATGTATGGCTGAGATGCAATCCA